AATTTGCCCACCCCAATTTGCTCGGAATAAATGGAATAAATGAAACGTTCAGATGATTCTCCTTTTCCCCGAAGAGGGCACTCATATGAAAATAATAACTTAGCAAAGAGGTCGCATCACTAATTCATTATAATGGCCTTTGAAGAATTTGTGTCCAAAGTTACGAGCGATTTTTAGCCATTCAAGGGGGAGAGAATCTCGGCTTTATATAGCCCAACATGGATTTGTATCATCCTCCATTTTCAACAAATATTCAATACGTCATAAAATATTAAAATTAATATTTTCAGTGTAAAGCATTAGTTCCAGTGGTAACATTAATATTTTCAGTCTAAAGCATTAGTTTCAGTGGTAACGTGTTATATCCACCTAATTCTACATCAAAAACCAATCAAGCTACAATGTTTTTATGCTCAGGGATATATGTTCAAATGATAAATTTCTATTGGGCAACAATGCAAATAAATTCATAGATCGAACGTTCCGGCCCAACCAAAAAAATATATCATTAGGTTGATAATGTGATCAAAACGTGCATAAAATATAATATTTAAAACGAATAGGCTCCTAAGAAATTTGAACATTAATGATATATATATTTACTGTTACATCGATCCTCGTCATGACCCAACATCATTAGGCTGATGATGTGATCGCACATTGTTTCAAATTATCGTCTAACCTTGACTCGAATACCACTTCTAACTTATCGAATCATTATGTTAATGGACCTACACTTCTCTAGAACCCTTACCTCCCCATAAGATTCACTTTATTTTTTCACAACCGATCGCTCAACAAGACATACAAGACTTGTTGATAAGGGCGGATGTATATGTGTTAATGGGGTAGTCCTTACCTCCCATCAAATTACCTACGACTGTCCCATACTAAATGTTTTTTTTTTTTTTTTAAATAATCTCATACTAATACCATCATTATCTCTGAAACTCTTAAACATTCTTAACCTAATGTTTAATATTAAATTTTAATATAAATTAATATTTGAGATTCACAATTTTTTTTCTAAGTTAACTGTGAGACCCATATCTCAATCTCTTCCTTCTCTTGACCGGCTAAATCATTGCCGCCGTAATTATTCGTCGGCAGTCGTGTGCCTTCGTCGGTTACCGAAACGCCATCGTTTCCTTCCTCAATCCCTTCCTCGCTGTTGTTTTCCACAAACCAGAGGAGATCGCGATTGAAAAGAGGGGAAACAGGACGGGTCTGACCATCTTCGAAAGCTTCGCTGGTAGTTATCGGAGATCCTTTGCATTTACACAAGCAAACGGAAACTCTTCTTCTTCGTCGTCTAATTCACCGTCGATTTTGACGGATTCTTCGAGAGAAAAGTACCTACATCGTTGTTGATCAGATCCAAAACCTCACCGTAACTGCTCTCTCTCTCTCTGTTTGTGAAACGGTCCAATAGCAATGAGACACGTGGTCCCGTTGAAACGTATCAAGAGTTTCTTCCCAAAGAGACGATTCATCCAAAAAATGACAGAA